GGCCCAAATTGAAAATTGGGCCATAGTTTGGGCCTAGAGGGTTGTATGATATTGGGCCTTAGAATGGGACATGTGGGACTAGACTGGACAATTGGGCCTTAAGGGAAGCCCATGTAGAGGTTTGGGCCTAATTTAGAAAATTGGGCCATATGTTGGGCTTTGATCCCTAGTTGACTTTAGGCCTATGGATTGGACCTTGGGCTTGGGTAAGCCAAGTTTGGGGTAATGTAGTAATTATCCAAAGTATGTAATTATAGTTATGTAGTAGAACCTAATTATTAATTGGATGTTATTTTGATGTTGACAGATCGGGAATCTGTCATCTAGCAGCTGGGTTCGAGTCTGCGGGACTTCAGCTATGTGAGGTGAGTTTCCTTCCAATAAGAACGGGTCTACGACCACAATGTCAGCCCGTTTAGTTAGCAGTAGTTCCGGACCTCGGTCCGATGCAGTAGTTAGATTGCTTGATGTCTTTGTGATTCAAGCATGTTTGTGTTATGTGTTCCGGACCCTGATCCAATGCAGTATGCGGTATATGTATTCATGCTAGTTGATATGTTTATGATATGTTATGTTCAGTCAGTTCCGAATTCCAGTCCGATTCAAGGGACGAGGTCCCAGTCAGTTCCAGACTTCGGTCCGATGTAGTAACTTCCGGACTTCGGTCCGATGCAGGGGACGGGGTCCCAGTCAGTTCTGGATTTCAGTCCAATGCAGTTTCTAGATTTCGGTCTGATGTAGTGGGCAAGGCCTAATATGTGTTTATATGTTATTATATGGTATGTGGTAGTTTGGGGGAGCTCACCAAGCTTCGTGCTTACAGTTTCAGTTTTGGTTTCAAGTACCCAGTTTTCAAAAGAGGAGCTCGAGAAGATTGCAGTGCATGCACTATTTGTTCAGCTTGGGATGTTTATACTCTGATATACTTGTCAGTTGTTATAATATTTTGAGATACATTGCTTACCATTTTATATGAGGTTTATTGATTATGGTTTTTATTATTAAATTAAATGAAATTTCTAGACTGTGTTTTTGGGATGTTACATATACATTAGTTAGTGAGAGAGTGTTGCGGGACTATGGGGAGCCGTAGCATCCACTAGGGAGCATATGACCCGGAGGTGTTCTTAGGCATGGGTAGCCTTGACGATTGAGTCTTCGAAAACCTAGTAGCCGAACCAGGGACGAGACTAGGGTCTCCGTGATGGCCGAGAACCGTTATACCTCGAATTAGGGATGGGCTCTCACAAATCGGAAGGGGTTGGAGAAGTAATGACTGCGTAGATTCGCAGATCACAGATCATGAGTTGAGTATCAGATTGGAGATGAGTGGTTCCAATTATGTGGTTGAACCAGACTCTCGAGCTTAAGTTTGGCTCTATTTGAGTATTAGGTAGGCAGGATGAGATTCCGGATTTCCAGATGGATTTCATTTTGAGTGGTAATGGTTTCCATATGATGTTTTAGACCTGAGTGGGTCGATTTGTTGGTTTGGGAAGGACCACGAGACACAGGGATCTAGTAAGTGGTAGACGACAGAGGTCGGAGGTGAGGCGACTTCAGATAAGGTTGTAGTTTTCGCTTGAGGTGAAGCGAACTTGATGACTTTGTGTGTCATATGATGGGCCAACATAACTATTGTGAGAAGGAAAACTGTAAAGTCGTTTTATTGGGTGTACAAGGAGTAACCTTTGGAGGTTCAACTGTTGGGTCGGGAGCTGACCTAATGTTTAGTGTTGGAAGGGTCATTTGAGAGAAAGCTGGGGGCTTATAATTATGGATGTCAGAGAATAGGCTTGACCATGCACGATCGTTCTTCTTGTGCCTGAGGATAGAGTATTGAGATACATTTTTCAGATGGGTTCTTATAGCAGAACAAGTGGTGGGTCCTCGATGAGATGTGACCCCTCCTTTCCTTTTGGGTTACGAAATGGGATTGACTAGTATGACTGACATGAGTGGTCAGAAGCCAATTATTGGTCAATATCTTGTTTCCATTAGTCGAAAAAAGATAATCAGAGTTGGAAGTGTCTTATTGGGCCTGTTATTCGATGAGCGATTACATGGAGATATTATGCATGGGAGGTCTGTCGGAGAGACCAACCACTATAATGTATAGATTCTGGAGAGTCAGAACTGGTACTGCATCGACAGACCACTATAAAGATCCAAGCTTTATCAAGCTATTGGCCAAGTTCCAAAGATTAAACCCTCCATAGAGCTTTGTTTTGGCACTTTAAGCCCTAGGTGCCATACATGGACGTAAAGCTTATAGCTTTACGTCGTATTTCATCCTTAGGAGGCTAGATCTAGAGTTTGGGGTATTAGTTATGCCTTAAATCATCTAAATGAGAAAATAGACTTAAGGGACTCGACGAGTTGATGAGACAACTCGATGAGTCTGTTAGGGTTTTCCCTGATGGTTAGACGCGTTACAAACTCGGCGAGTTGGTGAGACAACTCGACGAGTTGAGAGGGTTTTACCCGTCTTTGGATTTAGAGTGGACTCGAAGAGTTGATGAGACAACTCGACGAGTAGGTGGGGTTTCCTGGTCTTCTGGACGCTGCATGGACTCAATGAGATGGCTAGCAACTTGGCGAGTAGAACTGGGTTTTACATGAGCTGTACTCGACGAGTTGAGACAACATTGACTGTTGACTTCCGTTGACTTTAGGAGTTGGATCAATTTTGACTATTGACTTTCGTTGCCTTTAGGGTTTTGGTGAACTATGGAATTTGGAGGCCATGGAGGGGCGGATATTAGACCAACGGCTCGAGTGTTGGATATATTGCTTTACTCTGTGATGTGAATCTTCTCACTATACTTGCCTTGAGTGGTAATTTTGTGTGACCGGAGGGTCTTGTGTGCTTATATTGAGTATTGTGATATCCTGAATTATGTCTTTGTGATTTATGTTTTGTATTATTTTGAGCTTTACTGTGTTAGGACCGGAGAGTCTGCCCGAGTTGTGGGACTGGAGGGTTCCACTAAGACACATTGCTAGAGGGTCTTATTTGAGATATAGCCATGAGAGGCTAATGAGATGCGTGTGGTATTTTGGGGAACTCACTAAGCTTCGTGCTAAGCGTATTGTGTGATATGTGTTTCAGGTACTCCTCAGGGTCGCGGAAAAGCGCCAACTTGTTGTTTTGTTGGCTTATGCTCTTGACAATTGATACATTGTGGTTTTGAGAAAACGTGAGATTGAGTTTTATGTGATTTTAATATGAAATTTTTATTTGAAAATTTAGAGCATTACATAGTGTTTGCAAAGGATTTCTGTGCCAAATTAACGAAGGGATGATGACAAATAAATGACGGAAAGCTTTTCCAAATTTAGCGACGAATTTGTCTATATTTAGGGGTAAATCAAGGATTTCTGTGCCAAATCAACGAAGGGATGACGACAAATAAATGACGGAAAGCTTTTCCAAATTTAGCGACGAATTAGTCTATATTTAGTGGTAAATCCTCGCAATCAAATTATTTTACAAACCACAAGACCAATTATCTATGGAATGTCTATCGTTAACTAATAAAGATTCTCTTAATACTTTTGTCGCTATTGGATAAACGATGCTAGTTTGATCTTTTATCGGATGCTAGTATGTGAGAGTGGTTGATGGTTGATGGTGTTAGAATGGTCTGTCGTGATACACTTCTTTTTTCTAGTAGTCCACAAGTGTGTTTTGTTCTATGTATTATGATAAAATGGTATGTGAGAGTGGTTGATGGTTGATGATGTTAGAATCGTCTGTCGTGATACATTAATATATTAGGTAGAAAATATTTCGTTATGAAAATATTTCGTTTTCAAAGTTTGACATTTGCTATTACAAATATCCTGCAACAAAAATAATATGAAAAATGCATCCCTAAACTTATATTAGATAAGAAAAAGTTATCCAAGTAACTGACTTCAATATATTATGCTAAAATAGGTAATGATTTCATATACATCTATCCCATAAGATACATTAACATTAGACACGTTATATATTTTTTTTAACCCCAAATCTAATCTATTCTTATTTCCACCCATATCAATTTAAACTTTGTTACATATCAACTTGTTACAACTGACAAGAAATAAAATGAATTGGTATTTGCAATATATGCATTTCACCCGGAATATTCTCTTTCTTTTATGCATAACTACACATACCATATATGCTAGAATTCCCTTTCTTGCATCTATTGTTGCATCCTCCACAATTACGCTTGTCCGCCAGAGGGTTCACGCATTTTCCCTTGCAGCAGATTTCTTGGTTCTTGCATTTCTTCCCACAAAGTCCACAATTTTGTTTATTAGTCTTAACATTTACACATTTATTCTTGCAACAATCTGGACCTGCGCTTCCTTTCACCCTGCAGAGTCTTGGATTCTTGTTGCATTTCAGCAGGCCCCTCGATTGTTGGGCAAGGAACTGATTAGCTCCTCTTAGCGACCCATAAGTAGGATAAACATCTTTTTCCCCATCTTCTACTAGTGTGGCAGATAGATTGATGACTAAAGCCAAGAGAATTATCAGGATTATCAAGATTTTCATGGTGTTGCATGCAGATCTTGTGAGAAATTAAGATAAAGATAAGTATGAGTATATAGTGAATGAAGATTTTGGTGGAGGGATGGATGAGACTAATATTAAATGGAGAATGCATATATAGGGTGGTAGTGTGAATGATTTTATATATTCGGAAGTCTAGGGTTGAAAATATGTTAGGTTTATGGATGGTATTTTTGTAGCAAAGACTCCACTAAAAAGATTTGGCTTTAAATTTCTATGGTATTTTCTTGTTTATGAATTCTCCAAACTACATAGTAATATTATGGTATCTGTTTGTATAATGTTGTTCTAAACTCTTATATAATTAAATCACTTATTAAATGCCAATATTACATAATTAATTAAAAAATAAAGTACGTATGATGAAATCAACATTACACGGTTTCATAATTAATTATCTTGCCGCAAAAATTCTTGATTGACCAGAAAAATGACGAAAGGTCATAGACAAACCGGCGCATGGACGGAAGTCCGTAGGAAGAAACCTCCGGTTAACACCGGCAAGGAGACCACCTTCTATGTATCTAACATACCCAATGGATCCAGGTTAGCCGAAATAAGAGCCCCATTCACCAAGTTTGGTCAGGTGGTAGATGTATTCATCCCTCCCAAGAAGAATCGCAATGGCAAACACTTTGCTTTCATCCGTTTCAAAAAGGTGAAAGATGAAGTAACGCTGGAAAATAGTCTACAAGGTATCAAGTGCAATGGGTACAGTCTCGAAGTAAACCTGGCCAAACACCCAAGAAACTCTGCAAAAGCATCAACTAATACAACCCATAAAGTGGCCATGCAACCCCAATTCAAGACACATGCTAATACCACAGGTGGGTTCAGAGACCGGAGATCTTTTGCCCAAGTTGCCTCTGCGACTGGGATCCCCCTACCTCTCCTCCTCCTCCCCTGCCCCCATCCCAATCAAGGTCAATACAGAAATGAATAGTTGGCTTCATAAATCAGTACTTATTGGGGAAGCACATAGTCTCGATCACATTGCAAACATCCCAAAATCATTAATCAGTGGGGACCACATCAAATATCTGGGAGGTCTAAATATCGCCATTGCCATGGGATGCTCGGTCAGTACAAAAGCCTTCCTTGAAAACAAGAATAATTGGAATGAATGGTTCAAGTGGCTGACATGGGGAGGTCAAAAAGATCTACGCTTTGAAAGAATGGCTTGGCTAAAAATAATTGGACTTCCACTAAGATTATGGGACGAAGCCACTTTCTCTACCATAGCAGGAAGATTTGGACGGGTGACTCATCCATTTGACAACATTGGAACCAGGAGAGATTGTTGAACACGACTCTTTGTATGGGAAACAACAAGACTTTTATTAAGACACTTAAGAAGACCTTACACTTTGTGAGACTACTACACACTTTTCTCTCTTTGAGGCTTTCTTGGATACTTAGATGTTGGATTATTTGGAGCAAATGAGCTCCACACCTATTTATAGGTGTTTCCACCTCCTTATAAGAAGTTTCTAGATCTACATACATTCATGGCTATTCTAGAACTATCTACCATATTCTATATCTATTACAAGCTTTTATATGTTTCTAGAATGTTCTATAATGTCCTAGATAAGTATAGACATTCTTGTGTCTTCCATAGTGTTCTAGAATGTTCCATAGCCTTCCAGGGTCTTCCATCTCGTTCTAGAGTATTCTAGAATCTTCCGGCATCTTCAACACTCCTCCATAGTATTCCATAATGTTCTAGAATCTTCCAGATCATTCTAGAACATGCTAACTTCTTCTAGACAATAACATGATTCTATTGGGCTAGTGATGACCTTCAACACTCCCCCTCAGCACTAGCCCCTATTTGTTGTACCATGTTGAGCTGATAATTAAAGCCCTCATATTTGTCAGTACTTAACCCTTTATGAACTTCATTTGCTACTTGGTCATTAGTCTTGATATGTTTCATATTGACTTCTTCCTTGAGAACTTTTTCTCTTCCACATGTTTTGTTTTTCCTTAGTTGTTGCAGTCGTTGCTTCGTATATTGTTTCCATAGTTGACAATGACATTCGTGGTTGCCTTTTGTTGCACCATAATATTGTCCGTGACCCCGTTGAACTCTCTTATATAGTTTCTTATGCCTCCCGTTGGAGAACTTGTAAGCATGTGGGGTGTCCCTTTTACAAGCCTTGGAAAATTCCTGTAATATTAACATGTTATGACGTGATCCCTTATTGATCTGATCATCTCGTTTAGATGTTGCTTGGTTGAGAGATTTTACTTTGCTCTTACGAATTAATGTGTTTTTCTTCTTATTCGCCTTATCAGGTTTCTCCATCACATGTTCCACTTTTCGTCTAAGATGCGAATTTTTATGTAACCCTAGTGGCATTATGTTCTTCTTCTCCTTCGGAATGTCCATCTTTGAGGGAACAATTTCCTCCTTCAAGGCTGTCATAAACTTTGCCTCACTCTTCTTGAGACCTTTGTCGAGTTGCATAGTTGATAGGATTTGGGATCCAATCCTATTTCTCTTCAAGGGTACAATGTGAATTATTGAACCCTTAGTGATACGCATGGTATCGTCTCTCTCAAATGACCAGGGTCGTACATTTTCTAAAAAATCCATTCCCAATACCATATGATAGTCATCCATATGCACCACTGTCAAGTCTATGGTGCCTTCCCATTCTGCTATCTTAAGAGGTACTCCATATGCAACACCAATGATAGGCTTGGATAAAGAGTTGACGACTTTCAAACGGCCTGGCATTTTGGTGTATTTGATGCCCAACTTCTTAGCTTCATCTTCAGCAAGGAAATTATGGGATGCACCTGTATCTACCAATGCTTTGGTGTATCCTCCATTTACCCTGGCATCCATGAACATTAGCTTTCCTCTTTTAGTCTTATTCTCTTCTATAGCACATAGTGCCTCAGCATCCCATTCATCCTCTACTTCCTTTTTGGAAGTTACTACATTGCTTTCCACAAACTTTTTCTTTGACCAACAATCCTTGGACATGTGGCCCCACTTTCTAGAATTGTTGTAGTTGCCTTCGAACCTCCTCCCCCGAGAACTCTTATTGTCGGTCTTTTGAGATCTCCATGGTTGTGAGGTTCCTTGCTGACTCTTCCCTTTGTCAGCATTTTTGTATCCTTCTTTAGAAGGTGGCTTGAAATTCCTTCGACTTTTACTTATGTAGAGTGCTTCTTCTTCACTTTCAGCGTGATGCCTCCCATTTGCTTAGCCATAGCTTCTTGGCTGGCCAACAAATTCTCAAACTCTACAAGTGATGGTTGAACGGGCCATCCTTGTACAGCAGTAACAAAGCTTCTATATTCCGGCCTCAGTCCATGGATAATGATCCTCTTCATTCGAGCTTCTGCAATGACGGATTGCGGATCTAGTTCAGTAATCTCCCGACATATCGACTTGACCTTGTGGAAATATTGAGCAATCGTCATGTCACGTTGTGAGATTGATAATAGCTCGTTCTCCAAAAGTTGTAGTCTCGTATCATTCTTCTTTGAGAAAAGCGTCACAAACGTGTCCCAAGCTTCTTTCGGGGTGTTCTCATCCCGAATATGCTCCAACATCTCTTCTTCGATTGTGGTCTTCAAGGCAAACATTGCTTTGCCTGCTTTGATTTTCCATTTGCGCAAAGCACCATTAACGTCTTCCTCTGGTGGCGTAGTTTCGCTTCCACCAACGACCTCCCATAGATCTTGTCCTTGTAAGTAGGACTTCATACATGTTTCCCACATTTTGTAGTTGTTGTTGTTGAGTTTCTTGATTCCTCCGACGACTTGGAGATCACCCATCGTGTTGGCAGTACCTCGGTAATACCAAACAAGCTAGTTTCGAAACTAAACTTGCAGAGTCACAAACTACTCACGATACAACGAGAATCACTCGTTCTCACTATCAAGAAACCTTGCTCTGATACCAGATTGTTGAACACGACTCTTTGTATGGGAAACAACAAGACTTTTATTAAGACACTTAAGAAGACCTTACACTTTGTGAGACTACTACACACTTTTCTCTCTTTGAGGCTTTCTTGGATACTTAGATGTTGGATTATTTGGAGCAAATGAGCTCCACACCTATTTATAGGTGTTTCCACCTCCTTATAGGAAGTTTCTAGATCTACATACATTCATGGCTATTCTAGAACTATCTACCATATTCTATATCTATTACAAGCTTTTATATGTTTCTAGAATGTTCTATAATGTCCTAGATAAGTATAGACATTCTTGTGTCTTCCATAGTGTTCTAGAATGTTCCATAGCCTTCTAGGGTCTTCCATCTCGTTCTAGAGTATTCTAGAATCTTCCGGCATCTTCAACACTCCTCCATAGTATTCCATAATGTTCTAGAATCTTCCAGATCATTCTAGAACATGCTAACTTCTTCTAGACAATAACATGATTCTATTGGGCTAGTGATGACCTTCAACAGAGATTACTCGATGGGAAAAGTGGGTATTATCACATCGGCAAGGAGATGGATAAATGAAGAAGTAAAAGTCTCTGCAGGAGGAGAAATAATATGTGTCGGTGTCGTCGAGTACACTGACGACTGGTCACCTTTTATGCCACTCCAATTTGATAAGACCATCGAATCAGATGAGGAAGACGACACAGAAGAAACAGATGATGAAGATGGTATATCCGAAACATGGATGCAGGAGAATGATGTGGTACCGGAAGATGGGGAATATAGAGCGGATAGTATATTTGGTAACAACGATAAAACGGCGGAGGAGCAGATGGAAGGATTGGAATCGACCGGAGAGGCTCCGGCAACAGACTTAGTGGCGCCAAATCTATCCATTCAAGGTGCGGCTCTTGATATCCCCTCTATTCCGGCTCTCGAGGTATTGGCATCGGGAGGTAACGACAACAGTAACTGCATTAATTACCATATTCTCAACAACAGACTTAGTTGGGGGAAAATTTCCCAGCAACACTTCCACTGGGATGTTTTGGGCCTTTCCCAACCCCCATTAATCCAATAAGATTCTCGGCTCAAACAAGATATGAAGATGAAGCCCATCTAGAACAATTGGGGTGCAGGAGAAAAAGAAAGAGGCTTAGTAAATCTGGGCAAAAATCCAATTCTCCTCACCGTTCAGTCTTCTTCCCTCCTACAGATACTCCTGGTGATCCTGGTATTCTCTTCCCCCCAATTGATAGAGACCTCGCTCCCAATCAAACCAATGCTGTTTCAGAAGGTAACAATGTACCCTCCTTCTCTCAGGAGGTCGAGGCAACTGCAGAAGTGGGGTTTGCTATTGGATTCCAGATTGATTCTAGAGATGCGATTCTCTCGGAAGTCATGGGTGATTCAGGTGAGTATAATCGTGACCAATGAACTGCTTAAGTCTAAACATCAGGGGCATCAGGGAAGATGCCAAGGTGGGTTGGGTTAAGAAACTCAAGAATAGAAACAAAATAGATTTCATTGGAATTCAAGAAACATGGATGGGAGATTTCACCAAAATTGACATTGGGGGATGCTGGGATACCTCCAATTTCGACTTTGAGGGCGTCGACTCTACTGGAAGGTCTGGTGGTCTGGTTTGCATATGGAACCCCCATGTATTTCAAAAAACTGAAGTCATAAAGTCTAGATACTACTTGATAATTATCGGGCATTGGAATGGCCATAATGGAAACACAATATTTGCTAACGTGTACGCTCCTCAAGCTCCAAGTGATAAAGCCAAACTTTGGTTTGATCTTCTCGAAATCATCCGCTCCAAGACCGGTAGATGGGTAGTTTTTGGAGATTTTAACGCAGTCAGGCGACCGTCGGAAAGGCTCAACTCTCGTTACTGCAAACGCACTGCTACTGATTTTAATAAATTCATACAGGATGTTGGTCTACATGACCTAAATATGGGAGGACACCGGTTTACTTATTGTCATGACGGAGTCAAGCTGAGCAAACTTGATAGGTACCTAGTTTGTCAAAACTTCTTATCTTCTTTTCCCGCGGCTGCTGCAACGGCTTTACCTCAGGAAATCTCGGACCATTGCCCGATCACACTAATATCACAGCACATCGATTTTGGACCTCCGCCCTTCAAATTCTTCAACTCATGGCTTTTGATAGAAGGAATCGAAGATACTGTCCTCCAAGCTTGGAATACATTTCAAGGATATGGACCTCCTGACTCTTATTTGGCGGCGAAATTGAGACACCTCAAGGATGCAATTTGCAATTGGCGGAACCTAGCTCACATCAAGGAGTTTGATGTTGTGACAAAACTGAAATTATCTGTGGAAAACCTTGATAAAATTGCAGAATCAAGACCACTAAACGCCTCTGAACTTTTGGAACGAAACACTAATTTTCACAAGATCATCGAATCAGAGCAGTTGGCTGCCCTTGACCTGAAGCAAAAAAGCAGGGTTAAATGGATGAGAGACGGGGATGAAAATACCAAGTTCTTTCATGGCTTCATAAACAACAAGAACATGCGTACTCGGTTGAATGGACTCACAGTAAACGGGTTGTGGACCACTGATGTTAAAAAAATCAAATGCGAGGTCCTGCGTTTCTATAATGATAAATTTAAAGAGAAGTGGGTCTCAAGACCTAAGCTCATCAGCCCCCTGTTCCAAACTATATCCCCTAATGATGCAGTAGGTATCGAAGCTCCTATTACCATGGAAGAAGTGAAGTCAGCTGTATGGTCCTGTGGAAGTGACCGGGCCCCGGGCCCAGATGGGTTTACATTCAAATTCATAAAAACCTTATGGGAGACTATGAAGTCGGATATCTTGGCTTTTGTTAGTCACTTTGAAAAATATGGCACGTTTGCTCGAGGTTGCACTTCTTCAATGATAACCCTTGTTCCTAAAATCAAAGACCCAACTTTGCTCAGTGATTACCGACCTATAAGCCTGATTGGATGCATGTACAAAATAATCGCAAAAATTCTCGCATGTCGTCTAAAATCAGTAATTGGACACGTCATTAGTGATGTACAATCAGCATATGTTGCGAACCGAAACATCCTTGATGGTCCACTTATCATCAATGAAATACATTCATGGGCTAAAAAGGTCAAACAAAAGGTACTATTATTCAAGGTAGATTTTGATAAGGCATTTGATTCAATTAATTGGGAATATTTGGACTCCGTTCTCTCACAAATGGGCTTCAAAGAAAAATGGAGAACATGGATTCGTGGTTGTCTTTCATCCTCCCGAGCTTCGGTCATCGTAAATGGGTCCCCAACCAAAGAATTTAGCTTATCTAAAGGTGTGCGTCACGGAGACCCACTCTCTCCTTTTCTATTCATCATAACCATGGAAGGGCTAAATGTAGCATTAAAATCAGCATGTAATCAAGGAATTTTTAATGGAATCAAAATCCCAAACGGCGGTCCTCTGATTTCACACTTATTTTATGCCGATGATGCGCTTTTCATTGGCGAATGGTCCAAATCCAATATCACCAACCTAGGTAGAATCCTAAAGTGCTTTCACGCTTCCTCCGGGCTCAAAGTCAATTTCAATAAATCAAGTGTGTTTGGCATTGGCACCTCCTCTAGGGAAACAAATAGGTGGGCAAATATTCTGGGGTGCAAGGTGGGGATATTCCCTTTCAACTATTTGGGAGTACCAGTCGGAGCGAACATGAATCTGAAGAAGAACTGGAAACCCATAATCGATCGGTTCAATTCCAAACTTTCAAATTGGAAAGCAAAGACGCTTTCTTTTGGTGGTCGATTAACATTATTAAAATCAATCCTTGGTAACCTTCTGACATACTATCTCTCTCTTTTCAAAGCCCCGATGGGGGTGTTGGATGCTCTTGAAAAGATTAGACGTCGATTTCTATGGGGTGGATGTGACACTAAATCCAAAATTCATTGGGTCTCATGGGACAAAGTTACAACGACTATTGATAAGGGTGGACTGGGTGTAGGATCATTGCGTACATTAAACACTGCACTTCTTGTCAAATGGTGGTGGAGACTGAGAGAATATCAATCTGCTCTTTGGAGTCAGGTCATTAATGGGTTACACAAACTTACCAGACGTGCTGAAGATCAATTGTCAAAGAAAGGAATTAGTGGTGTGTGGAACAACATCGCTGGAGTCACAACGGAATTGAAGAGAGCTGATTTGGACTACAACTGTATTATAAAAAAATTAGTCGGTTCGGGTAATTGCACCTTATTTTGGCACGACATTTGGTGGGGAGATGAAAAGTTAAAATCAAGATTCCCGGAACTGTTCGTCTTGGAAAGTAATAAATATTGTTTGGTTCAGGATCGTGTAACACCAAGTAGGTATACTTGGGATTGGAATGCTAACCTCTGGTCGGAAAACCTAAATCAGAATCTCGGGCATTTGTTGACTGCATTGGAGCCATTTAATCCATCTTCTGAGCCAGATACATGGCGATGCACCCTTGGGTCTGATGGCATATACATGGTACAAGCCTTGCGGAAAAAGCTTGACGAAACTACCCCTGCTATACCAGGTATTAAAATACATTGGATGAAGGAGGTTCCATTGAAGGTGTTATGTTTTATATGGCGGGCGAAATGGGGACGAGTCCCATCGGCTCAAGCATTGATCTCTAGAGGTGTCAGTAATATCTCTCCAAATTGTGGATATTGCAATCATACCGGTGAAGGTGCAGATCACATCTTCATCCATTGTGACTTTGCCTCAGCCGTGCGTGAATGGATCATGAGATGGTGCGGTGTAACTCTTGGACCCATTAATACCGTAGAGGATCGGTTGGATTTTGCATCTAATTGGAGTCAATGTCCCAAGAAACACAAGGTTTTTATGATGATCTGTTACGGATTAATTTGGTGTTTATGGAAAGCTCGCAATGACATATATAATTTTTAAACAGATGAAGGCAAGCCCTACCAAAATAATGGATGATATACAAGCACTGGTGTTCTTCTGGTTAAAACACAGGGCTCATTGGGGGTTATTAGATGGTGTGATTGGTGCATATCACCATATGCTTGCTTGTAACTTTCTTTAAGTCTTCTTTACATTTAAATTGCATTGTACTCTCTGTTGTTGGCTTCCTCTACTTTCTTGCTAGTGGTTGCCCTCTTATATAAAATTGTTTAGCCGTTTCCAAAAAAAAAGACCAGAAATATAGTTATTGGAGCACCTGCCACTTATATTTATTTTGACTTCTAATGAGTTTCGAAAATGTAGAACAAAAGGGTTGACAAATATATTACTGGTTAGGTCCTTATTTTAGTTAAACTGCATGCATGTGGTTTCACTACTAGAAACCTGACCTACAGCGACGGAATTTGCGATGGATTCTATCTGTAGCTAATCAGTGACAGTTTACTGAGGGATCAGCGATAGAACCCACAAATATTTCGATCAAAATAATTATAGTATTTTAGGAAGGTATTACTGAGGGATTAACGATGGATTATCAGGATTTTATCGACAAAAAATTATCCCTCGCTAAACCATCGGTAAGTAAAACCTCCTAGCGAGGGAACAACAACAGATTGCAAAAATTACAGGCCTTTTTTTATTGACCCTCGCCAAACCATCGCAGAAATCTACGCCTCCTTTTTTCATTCCCCGTTTTTCTTTCTTTTCTTGTTCCCTCGTTTTATTCTCATTCCTTCTAAATTCTTCACAAAGGAACAATTTCCTCCCAAAGCCCTAAATGACCGTCAAGTCTCTCCTCCGCCCAGGAAATCGCCTCCACCATAGTCAACCTGCATCGCTCGTCTTTGAAGCCTTTGAAAGGAAAACCTAATCATAAAGCACATGCTCGTTGGCTTTCCTTTCGGTCTGTCTCCTTTCCTTGTTGACTTGCCACTTAATTCCCAGATAACGCCTTTCGATCTATTGGTTCATCATATATTGTTGATTTAGATCGTACAACTACTCAGCAGCAACAGCGGCGTCGATCACCTAATAGCGTAGCGGTGGCGGTTCTGTTGGTGATCTAGAACACTTTGAAAACTTTTAGTAATTACAAAAATTACTAATGAAAACACACAATGAAAGCAAGAAATCGAAAACGCACAACGAAAGCAAGAACGGTGGGTAGCAGCAAACAACTGAAATCGACACGTCCAAAATGTTTGAAGGTTCCAAAAACGATACAAGCATCAATCCCCGATGTTGGGTTGCTATGAATTTCAAACAATCAATTCCATACGTACTTCTCCAGGTTTTTGTTTTCTCTATTACTAATCCTAAATCAAACCTTGATCCTAATCCTAGCCAATTTCTCAAATCACCCGTAAATTTTAGAAAAATTCAAGTTTTGAATTAAGTTTGGTCATTGTGTTGAGTTTAATTTTAGATTTATGGATTGTTGAATCCGACATGGATTTCTGCAAATTTCCTTTGATTTACTCTGGTTCTTTGCATTAGATTGCAGGTAAATCAACTTACTACAGATGAAGATTAAAACTACATCTTAAGAAAATTAGGGTACACAGGATGACAAATTGAAAATTATTACCAACCCTAAGCTTTTACATGCTCCATTTTTCTTTATTTTCACACTTTCCTTCCTTGGTTTTGAGAAATTCGTGAGATTTTTTTTGTTTGTATAGAAGAAGCTTTAGATTGACTCATAACCAACTACTCTACATTGAAATTTTCTGCTTTAAATCTCATTTTTGGTGGCATTTTTGTAATTACTAAAATACATTATTTTCAATTTCAGAGTAGGGTAAGACCAATGTATGTTGGTGGTTGGTTCTATTGATGGCTATCTTATGAAGGTACATATTCCTTTCTCCTAATGAAAGTAAACTTACTTTCTTTTAATCTGCATTGTAATTAATTGTTAGGAGCAAGAAATCCAAAAGATGCTACATGATGGATCAATTATTTTTTAGGATTATCTCATGAAAAGGTACAAATTGCTTAGCGTTCAAAACACACAACCAACTTCTCATTTGCTCTAATCAATGTAGGTGAACCAGAATCCATGAAACTTTTTGGTTGATATAGGTATGAACAACATTAGTATTCTAGGTGTATGTGAAAGTTCTAGACTTTTCCCTGGTGAGGTGTCAACTGATCCCATTACTGTTATAAATCACATTTTTTCTTCAACATTTTAGATTTCATTGTAAATCTATAAAATGTGATCAGGAGGCTTATCGGGATATGGCATCTGCACTTTCCAAGGCTGATGGAATTGACTATACTGACCCTGAAGAGGTCAGCAGAAAAAAGAAAACCAAAATATAAATTTCAATTTTTTTTAAATGAAAGTAGGAGGCTAACTCAATCTTTTGCAACTGGAGTTATTGGTTGCAACAATAATGGATCTTGATGCAATGGATGGTAAAGGGAGTGTGTCGTTATTGGCAAAGTGTTCAACTTCTCCTAATGTCAATACAAGGTACATCTTTTCATACAAAAAGACTTAAACGGGCTTCTTCAATGAGGATGGTATTTACGTCATTTGTACAATATATTGTGTCATGTCTTGACAAATTGGGACATTGTTGGACCATCGATGTGATGGGAGCCTTATAGGTAACTGGTTTTATTTTCATGAGGAAAGGGTATTTTGGACATTTAAGTGATGGGGGTTAGATAAGTGTGTGTTTATAAAGTATTAGAGTTTAGGATAGTGATAGCTTTTAACTTGTAGTTTGACATCAGGTTAATGGCATGGCATTGGCACTTCCATTTTTTCATTCTATGGTCTGGGTTTAGGCTTTTGTAGAACACAATCAAATTCTTCTTTAATCCAAAGACTACTGCTAAGGTTCATGTAAGTTCTTTCCATTTTTTATAAAATAGAACTTCATTTTTATAAAAAATTCGAGTTGACTCGTCAATGACTTTATTTACATGTAAGTTTTGGGCAGCACATACCAAAACCAACTCCTCAAAATGATTAATGTCGGGTACGTTTTAAGTTTTTTTAAAATAATATTTCATGATATAAACTTTAAATATTTCATGATTTAAATATAAAATCAAATACTCTCTCGAATGGGATGGGAAGAAAGAATAAGTCGTTCCCAAAAAGGAGCTGATTGAGATAGCCCGAAGGGAGTTGACTCCATTTCTTGAACTTCTTCCACATTCCCAAAATGCCCTTGGCGATGTCTTTGTAGCCCCTTCTGAGTCATTCTAACTAATACTTTGCAAAAGACAATTATACCCTTGTTTATTCTTACATGACTAAATTCATGTTCAGGGGCTCTTCGATTTGCTTAGGAGATTGTCCTCCTGATGCCATTCTCCCTCACGAAGAGTGCAACAAGGCTAACAAAATTGCATATTATTCTGAATTGCATAAGTATGTCTGTTATGTCCATTCTCATTCAATATATATTTTATTTTTTTACCACTTTTATCTTGTTGATAATATTTTTTTGGGTAGAATGATAGGGAATCTGATAATACTTTTATCTTGTTGATAATATATTTTATTTTTTATCCATTCTCATATTTTTCAGCATTTGAATTCCAGAGTTCTTGGGTGGTACCTACAACTGTATTAAAAAGGTTGGTTACATGCGATCACAAAAGGGCCAATGGCACCAGAGACCATGAAGGTTAGTTTTGTGATTTTATTCCTAATTAAAAAATTAGTTTTGGTGTGGTAGACCGCCCATTAAGGTCAATACAAATGTTTCAAAGATCAAACCCCAAAAGAGAAATTTCTGAAGACTAATATGTAAACACGGTATTTTCTTTCATCAACATGTTGTTTCATATATTTTTTCGTCCGAATCGGAATTCAATTCCATTCTAGTCCTGCATTTAGTTTAGTTTCAAATGAGTTATGAGTAGACAATAATGTCCTTTATCAACGGAAAAGCATGCTTCCAACAAACACCTTCTGTCCTTCCATTGCAGGAAAAAGTAAGTAGAACTCGCTGTAAGTTAAGTTTTGTTTCTTCTTTTTGTTTTGTTGATTAAATTTCTAGTTTAGTTGTTTGTTGCAATCCATTCCTTTTTGACATATTGATGAAGAAATTTCTTTCCTGCAGGAAATACCATAACTCCCTGATCTCAATCTTAAACAAAAAGTAGAAGAATTCAGGAGTTTAGTATCATCAGCTTAGTATCATCAGCTGATAATTTTAAAAAGTTTTGGAATTCATCTCCTTATCATTTGGAGGATCCGAGTGAAGGTGGTAAAAGTAAGCTTTCTATTTTTTTTAACTATCTCTTTCTTACAATAGACTTTCGTTCTATCTATTATGATTTCATATGTCCATTAAGTCTCAAAACTTCTTCTGTTATCTTTTTTTTTTAAAACTAATTTTGGTTGTAATTACATGGAAATTGTGGTGGCAGAGAATGGAAGTATTATTAGAAGGCCTCCACATGATGTTGACTATTGACTATGTTCCTGCAGAACTAGGTAAGTAAAACTATATGGTAGTGTTTTGTATAATGGAATCACGATCGGAATGGAATGGTTCTTTCCATTCATGGAATTGAATCAGCCATTCTTGAAGGAATGTGGTTCCCTTCTTCCGTTATGTTAATCTTCATTCCTTACCTTGTGGGTGTTTTCTTTATTATCTATATAATTTTTCATGATATACATCTTCTTTAAGAAAAGACTACGAGTTTAATTAAATTACAATTTTATATTAGTAGAATTACTCGAAAATATATATTTTAATCTTATATGAGTTTTAATGAGCTTTGTATTATATTGAATTTTTCTTATTTTGTAAATAATTAATTCGTTAATTAAATAATATATAGAGTAAGCATTTAATTTACATATATTATAAGACATTCATTCCATTTTAGCAAACAAACATATTATTTAAGCATAAAAACATATTGTTTCACATTTTATACCTTAATATGTTTAACGCAACTGACATACTTTATTGATTTTTCTCAAACAGTTGGAAAGAATGTGAGGCCTATGAAGAAGAAAAAGACCCAATGGGATCTACAGTCAGGTTTGTAATTTATTTCGGTTTACTTTAATTCTTAAAATATCTTTTATTTGATAAATTTAATTCTTTTAAAAAATGGTCCTAATACTTTCATTTAATTTTGCAGCATCCTAGATTCTTTTATTCGGTTTATTAATTATTACTTAATTGAGATTTAATTATAATATTGTTTTGGACAGGCCTATAGAGATTGAATTTATTTGAAAATATAAGATGGAATTGAGATTTGGGTACACATACTTGGAAATAAGATTTTGGTACATTACTAAACTTTGATATCTGATGATTTTGATGGTTTTGGTAAAACATTGATATTTGATGTTTTTGGATGTTTTGTTAAAATTTCATAGTTATTATGGTATTTTAATATTTGTGTTTGGTTTTGGATTCTATAATTATTTTATATTTTTTAGTATTCTATTATTGTTTAGTTTGGGATTGTATAATTATTTCATGTTTTTAGTATTTTTTTTGTTTTAGATTTGTAATAAAAAAAATTAATATTATATATTTGCGAGGGATCAGCGACGGAAACAACAAAAATATCACATTCAAATTTTGCTAGGTATCAGCGACGGAATATAAAAAGACAGATATAGAGGTTTGCAAGGGATTAGCGACGGAATATAAAAAGATAGATATAGAGGTTTGCAAGGGATTAGCGACAGAATATTTATTTAGTTTTGTCGCTGATGTCCTAAAATGACGGTATTAAGGGAGTAATTTGCAATGGATATTCCGTTGCTAAAGTCGTCACAAAGGAAAATTAAATCTGTCGCTAAATCTCTTGCTAAGTTATTAGCCACATTTAATTTGGCTATGGAGTAAGTCTGTCACAGATCCGTCGCAAAAGATCTTTAGTGACGGAATAGCAACGGATTTATCCGTCGCTAAAACCCATGTTTCTAGTAGTGTTTACACTCGGATCGTAGAATTTGGGACAAAATTCTACCAATAGAAAAAATAAAAAAATCCTTTGCAATAGCGACGTCTCGATGGAAGGTGAAGCCCAAATTTTATAACTACCGACGGTTTTGCGACAAGTATACAAATGTGGGTAATTCATTTGAAATTTTAGAGTTAAATGTTTTTATAAAAAAATCAATTAATTTATCTATGGGTTAACGTCAGGATTAAAACGTTAAAAAAACGTATAAAGATCAACGTTAATTACAATAAATAAATTGAAACATGGATGAATCCATGATGTAATCTGTAATTTCTGTTCTACCACTTATTTACTATTTAATCATAAAACTATGTTATGGTCGTTGAAAAAGTACATTAATATTGTTTGAATTGGTAAAACTTGTGTTCAAATATTAAGTAATCAAATATAATTAAGTAGGTTGGTACTTGAATTTAGTTAAACCTTTTTTTCGTCTTACACATAATTTTTTCTATCTTAATTTTACTTAATTAAAATTAAGACAAAATTTCATAAATAGTGGTTTATCAGAAGTCACAAACTCAATTTTTGTTACGTAAACAATCTGTGTCTTGCAAAATTTGTATTGAATATCATTTTTACTCACTAGAGTCCATTTTAACCAATAGGGTTATCACATGTTAGGCATGTGATGGTATTTTGGTTTTTTTTAGCTATAAAAAAGACTGAATTCACAAACTACGGTAAAACACACTCACTACTTTTGTAAATTATCTTAAAATAAAGAAATACAAGAAAATGAAGGGAGAATGGTTCGAACTAAAACAAAGGAAATGGAGAAAGATTCGAATTTGGGATCTCGTCTTCTTCTCCATCTTCGGTCAATATCCTAACAAATTAGTTAAAGCCAAACTTGGTTTATATTTTCAAAAAGTAATTCGTATTATGTAAAATCATCTAATAAATAAATAAATATTAAATTACAAAAAAAAATTATTTTCATATGAAACTTTTTTTAATAAAACAAAGTATACTTTTACGTATAGTACAAAAATAACTTTTTACAAACAATTTATATGATTTTTTACGTATTTATTTTACATAAAAGAGTTCTTTTATGTATTTCAAAAAATACGTTTTTATATAATATGTTATTACATTATTATGATCCTAAAATAATTTTCCATACTTTTTATAAAAAAATTAAGTTTATTTTTGCTTTCACGTAATATTTTTTACATATTTTTTTATGTAAAATATGTTTTTCAAGTATTAAAAAAATATATTTTCGAATAATATATTATTACGTTGTTATAACACCTTTTCACACACATTATAAAAAAATTGTTTTTTAAAAATACTTAAAAAATAAATATTACATAAAACAAATACGTAAAAATAAATTTACGTGAAAGCAAAAAACTTATTTTTTTTTATTAATGCAAAAAAAACTCTTAGGATTTAAGGCTAAACATAATAACATATTATACAAAATAAATATATTTTAAGACTATAACAATATACTAGCATGTTATATGAAAATATATATTTTTTTAAATACATTAAAGGCATCTTTTTTATTTTATTTTACTTACATTTGTTGTTTTGCTTTATATCAGTTAAAGATGTCTCGAAATGATTTGTAATTTTATGCATACTTGTTTTTTAGTTTAAACATTTATCCACAATCTAGGCGTAGGTAACAATCCATTCTATCATTGTTCTCATTACTTCACAACTACATACATCAAAATAAAATAAAAGTATATTTTAGGATTATAATAACATAATAACATATTATACGAAAACATATTTTTTAAATACATTAAAAACATATTTTCTTAGTATATTTTACAAATACTTGCCATTTTGCTTTAAATCAGTTCAAGACACGTCTCGAAAAAGTCTGTAATTTTACGTATACTTGTATTTTTAGTTTAAATCAAGTAAAGAAGTTAATAGAAAATAAAAATATTTATATTAGGATTATAACAACATAATAACATATTATATGAAAATATATTTATAATATACAGAAAAAAAACAAAATATATTACATAAAATAAATACGTAAAAAACATATAAATTGTTTGTAAATTTTATTCACAATACGTAAAAGTATATGTTGTTTTATTAAAAGAAAGTTTTATGCAAAAGTATGTTTTTTGTAATTTATTTTTTTATTTACAATTTTACATAATATTAATTAGTTTTTATAAATATAAACCAAGTTTGGTTCTAGCCTAGTTGGTTAATGCATTGGTCTCGAATGATGTAACATCCCGACTCCCAAGTATAATATTTAATTTTATTATATTCATTTTGTTAGGGAAACCCGACGAGTTGGAGTCCCCAACTCGCCGAGTAGAGATGGAGATGTCCGCGTGATTTTTAGAGTCTACTCAGCGAGTTGGAGGACCCCAACTCGATGAGTAGGTGCTGAGTAAGAAAACCCTAATTTTCAGGATTTGTATCGTATTTAAAGGATCTTAAGCTTTCATTTCCGCCTCCCTTATCATTTTGACACCCAGAGTGAAACCCTAAATGAGATGGCATCATCTGTGAGCAAGGTTGTAGAGCTCGCTACTCGGTACCTGCTCGACCGACTGGGGAGTAGCGAGTACTCGGGGAGTACTCGAATTTGGTAATTCATGTAGAAATTTTGTTTGGAAAATTATATATGTCAGAATCATAAGTTAAAATCATAATTTAATTGAAATATATAACCAAAATTAGATACATGTTAATACATAAAAACTAAAATACACATAATTGTCTCACTATGTGGATAATTACTGAAAATTTAAGATATATATGTAGTAATAATCACATGTTTGTGTTAAATACTAAATCATTAAGTGCATTACACATATAAATCTTGAAATTCTTGATTTTTTTCTCTTCTTATGACGATTTTGATGCTTTGACTAAGTTTGATCGATTTTGACCGAGTTAGCTGAGTTTGACCAAGTAAGCCCGAGTAAGACCGAGTAGGCCCGAGTTTGACCGAGTTTGTCCGATTTTTGACCGAGTTTGATCGATTTTTGGCCGATTTTGACTAAATCCGAGTTTTTTGGCCGAGTTGACATTACTCGCCTCGGTGGAGGGTCGATTTTGAGTAATCGGCCGAGTAGGCCGAGTTTTGCAACACTTTCGGTGAGAGATAGAGGCTAAAAGTGTGTGATTTGGTGAATTCATGGAAGGGGAATATAAGAGCAAAAGATTTAGAATGAGAAGAAGGCTTTAGATTTTGTGTTCCTTCTATACTAGCTGCTAATTGGAGGTAAAAAGCTACCACTTGACCATTGTTTGGTTAAATATCTTCTTTAGGAAGTTTATGGTCATTTCAATCTTCCTTTTTGATTCTTTGAGTCATTTGAGCATGACATGAAGTTGAAACTTCAGATCTGGACTGTATGAGGTCCCTTCAGCATAAAGATCCAAGCTTTATCTAGCTATTGACCAATTTACAAAAATTAAACCTTCTATAGAGCTTTGTTTTGGCATTTTGAGCCCTAAGGTCATGCATGGACGTAAATCTTGCAGCTTTACGTGGTATTTAAGCATTGGAAGGCTAGATCTAGAGTTTGGGACTTTATTTCTACTTAGAATCGTCTAAATGAGAATTACACTAGAGGGACTCAACAAGTGCATGAGCCGACTAGACAAGTCAGTTAGGTTTTTCCCTGATAGTCTGGACACGCTACAACTCGGCGAGTTAATGAGACAACTCGACGAGTTGAGTTGAAGTTAACCCAATTCTTCTGAGAACAGAAGGAACTCGACGAGCCGCATAGGTGCACTCGACGAGTTGGGTTAACAGGGACTATTGACTCGAGTGTTGACTTCCGTTGACTTTTAGGGTTTAGTCAAGTGATGGATATGGAGACCATGGAGGGGTAAAATGTTCTTTCACCCTTTCCCGAAGTTAGAAAGGGGATTAGCCTAACATCTTTAGTGTGATTATTATAAAGTGTTAATTAGAGATGATCGTTGAGTGCGAGATATATTTTCTTTGCTTACGAGGTGAGCCTTCTCACTATACTTACTTGAGTGGTAATACTATGTGACCGCAAGGTCTTATCTGAGTTATCAGTCGGAGGGTCCTATGCACTTATATTGAGTTATGTGATATTATGCATCTTGTCTTTGTGATATATGCTATATTATTTTGTGCCTTACTAAGTTAGGACCAGAGGTTCCAAACCGAGTTGTGAGACCGGAGGGTCTTCATTGAGATATAGGACTGGAGGGTCTGACCGGAGTTGTAAGACTAGAGGGTCTTCATTGAGACACAT